TGGATCTCTAAGGATGGAAATACGGTAAACAGGATATGGAACGTATGACAAAGCCTTCCTCATCATTAACCAGGAGCACCTATTATGTGACCCATACAGTGTATCCTCAAGTATTAAACTAAGACACACACCCCCATCAGGACCTAATTGAACTTAAAACATCCTATGTTCCCATCTCTTTCTATAATTGTCTTTTCTTTCTTGAAAACCCTTCTTAAATGCAAAAACTCAACATATGCTAAAAACTTAGATGATTAAACCACTAGAAGCTGTCAGTCTGGGAGAAGGCAATCAATTGCTAACACAGAAACGGACAAAAATTCTTTGACATCCTTGAGGTAGTTCCTCCAGTGAGGTCCCATCCACTGTGGCAGAAATGCTAGTTGCCTGTATACAGGCAATATCCATCCTTCATTTATTTCTTAGTAACATATCATCTATATTACTGAGGCGACAAAATGCCTGGAGAAAATAACCTTTCCCAACACCTCTTGAAGTCAGGGATGGCCAATTGTTAGCAGAAGCTCTTGGGCAGCGGGGGTGGGGGGATGCTGTAGGAAGAAATTTTAAAGACAATTTATTCAGCTTGCAGGCACTCATTTGCCCTTCCACTCTTCCTTCTTCTTTCCTCCACTGAACACAGACATGATGGCTGGAGGTACAGCAGCCATTTTAAGTCCATGAAGGAAGGAGACCAAGAGAATCTCAGTTTCTCTGATATCCTTAAGACACCAAAGCAGTGAAAGCAACTGTCTACCTCCAATCTTGTTATGTTAGGAAAATAAAGAGATTAAGACCAGGTAGTAGGGTATCTGTTATTCTCAGTCAAATGTAATTCCTAAGAAGACACACCTAGGATACTGAAAAGATCCTGTATCTTTGTGAAGTAAGACAGTTAATTTGTCTTACAAATAAATAAATGTTACTGGATGATGATGATGATGACGACAATGACAACACTGATAATGATTATATTAACATTTATTAAGCACATCCTAGGTGCCTGGCACTGAGGCACTGAAAGGTAAAGCAATTTGCCCGAGGTCTCATGGCTAATAAGTGATGAGGCTCAGATTTGAATTCAGACAGTCTGGCTCCAGAATTTGTGCTTTTAACAAGTACGAGATAATAATATCAAACACAACAAGCTAATACACACTACATAAACTAACCTACAACAATCTACACAGATACACTGATCTTAAAGGAACATTTTTAATTCATTAGTAAAAATTCTTATTCTATGTCATCCCTAAATTGTTCCTGTATTTGAGAAATTATCTCCTTTGGGAATGAAGATTCTTCTAGGGATGGCAAACTTTTGATGGGTTTCATAGATGCCTTATGTATTATACTAAATACTAGTTGGACCATGACAATAGCCTCCTGACAGATATCCTTGCTTCTAGCCCCTCCTCACCACCATCATCACACCGACCACTGCAAGATTAATCTCCCTAAAATAGAAATTTGATCACATCACAGCCCCTCTCAAAAGTCTTTAGTGGATCCCTGTTGCCTGAATCAAGTCCAAACTCTTCAACCTGCATCTACTCCCAGCCCCTTCCTCACTTTCCCACCAGTCCCTTCAGACTCCAAACCGTCCAGCCAAATTATTCCCCTGGGCTTTTCCATCTCAGACCTTGGCTCACATGATCCACACTGCATGAATGCCCACTCTCACCCATCCCTCCCCCAGGTCCATGTGTTCTCACCACACCTCCTCCTCAGAACCCAAGTAACAAAAGCCCCTGCCTCAGAATCCCTTAGCACTTTATCTCTGCTTCACACATGGCGGTCAGCACCTCATGCTCTGAACTGCAGCCAGCATGGGTCACAGGTGCTTCCTATGTTACCTGGAGGAACTCAAGTCAGCCATCATCCTCTACTCAGAGCCTTCCGATGGCTGCCAGCTCACTCAGAGTAAACCTGGTTCTGTACAAGGGCCTCCAAGGCCTTGCTCAGTTGACCAGGTCCCATTACTGCTGTAACCTAATCTCTTACTGCCCACCTCATTCACTCCTGCCATCTCCTCACTGTTCCTGAAAGCTGCCAGGCATGTTCTCACCTGAGGGCCTTTGCACTGGCTGTCCCCACTGCCTGGAGGCTCTTCCCCCAGGCGTCCATGAGCCTCACACCCTCACTTTCTTCACGTCTTTGTTTGAATGTCACCATCTCAGCAAGAGCTTACCTGAACCCCTATTCAAAATTGCAAAGCAAGCATACACACACACAACTACTCACTTTCGCTCTTTATTTTTCTCCTCAGCCCTTATCATCATTGATATACCACACATTGTATTCATTATTTTCTATTGTCTGTCTCCTCACACTGGACTGTAAGCTCCATAGGGATAGAATTTTTTTGTCTGTTTTGTTCACTGTACCCCTAGTGCCTAGAACAGTATCTGGCATAGAAAAAACATCTGTAAAATGTTTTCATGAATTAATGAAAGACAAACTGTTTTGGTCTTCTTACCAATCCTCACAGTTTGACAGAACTGAGCACTCTTAACGCCTGGCATTTAAAAAGAGAGAGAGAGAAATAAAAAAAGAGTAATAGAATTGATAAGAGGCTTATTTGTTGGCGTCATGGTCAAAGAAGCAAGTGTCGTACGTCATGTTAATAGCTCCTTCCGGACAAGGGCAGAGCTGCCAGGGTCTCTGCCATCCATCCATGTCAGGAGGGAAAGCACTGGCTTTCAGGATCTTACCTCAAGACAGTAAGCGTAGCCCAGCCCTGCAGCAGCCCCTGTCCAAGACCAGGGCCCGGACTGCATCCAGTTTTCCTGCCTCCCCTTCCTCCACTACACCCCCTCCTCAGCCCTTTTCCTGGTCCGTCTCGCTCAGGGTTGTTACACCATATGAAGGGGCTTACTTCTCAGTGGTCATTTTATTCCTAAGACCCTCAGAAAATCAGAGGAGTGATGACTATTAACTGCATAATCCTGCATAGAAAACAAAGTTTAACCAGTATAAGGAATCATCTTATGGCCAAGTTTCACTGACAAAGTTATCTGATTCATTTACCCAAAACAACAATCTAAATCAAATCATGCACAATATCAAACCCAGAGTTACTCCACAGGACGAATTTTAGTTCTACTCAAAGTAAGTGAAGCCTATCAGTGTTCTTTAGGAAACTGCCCACATACTTGATACTTGCTTTTCCTCCCTCATCTTGCAAACAACTCTCAAAAGCCCCACTGATCTTTCCTAAAAGCTATCAGCCCCTTGTGGGTGGGATCTATGTCTGATTTGCTTTTCCAGCCACCAGGAAACCTAATGCACTATAATGCACATGGAGGTTTTGTTGTTGTGAATGAATGAAAGAATAAGAACGCTCTGAATTAACCACGTTTAATGAAAAGCATGTGAGAAAGATGTGGTAGTCTGCTTCCGTAAAGATTACAGCCTTGGGAACTCTATGGGCAGTTCTACTCTGTCCTATAGGGTCGCTATGAGTCGAAATCAACTCGACGGCAACGGGTTTGGGTTTTGTTCAATGAACAGCATTAGGCAATGGAGTTGATCATTCTCCCTCTCTTCTCTCTCTTCCTCTCTCCCTACCCCTACTCCCGAATGAAAAACAAGACACTGAATGTGCTCGGAGCCCTGGTGACATACTGGTTAAGAGCTCAGCTGCTAACCAAAAGGTCCACAGTTCAAATCCACGAGCTGCTCCTTGGAAACCCTACGGGGCAGTTCTACTCTGTCCTATAGGGTCACTCTGAGTTGGAACCAACTCAATGGCACCTAACAACAACAACAAATGAATGTGCAGGGGCACTGGTGGTTCAGTGGTAGAAATACCACCTTCCATGCAGGAGACCCAGATTGATTCCCAACCAATGCACCTACAGCACAGATGCTGAACAGGTTTCAGCAAAGCTTCCAGACTAAGATGGACTAGAAAGAAAGGCCTGGAAGTATACTTCTGAAAACCAGCCAATGAAAACTCTATAGATCCCAACAGTCTGATCTGTAACCGATCATGGGGATGGCGCCACACCAGGCAACATTTAGTTCCGTTGTGCATGGGGTTGTCATAAATTGGGGATTAACTCGACGGCAGCTAACAATAACAACAACAAAATGAATGTGCTGGCAGAGAAGAGAGAAGAAAAGCAATAGCGCATCTGAATCACACACCCTCGGGGGGCCCTTGTTACATTGGGGGTTAAATGGAGGGGAAATTCTGTTTCACTTCCAAAGTTGCACTAATATTGCTTTTTTTAATTTAAAAATAGATTTCTATCTCCTCGCTCCTCCCAACCACACACTGTCCTTACAAATAAACCATAGCACAAAACGTACAATTTGGGAAGACCTATTAACACCTCTGTGTCTGTCTGTTTGTGAACCCACCAATCCCACCCCAATTTAATATTTAATTCACTTAAATGAAACAGAATTATGTTTCATTCCCTAAAGGAGTATAAAAGAACTATATTCCCTGTAGTATGTGAACCAAACACAAAATTCAAGCTGTATCTGTGTTGTGGGGAAGAGAATGTCCTCAACATCCTCCAACGAAACATTACTTCCTAAAACGAAAACAGTGGTGGAGGCCGACTCTAAAGTCTGGGAGCAGAAGGAGCAATCCAAAACGCAGGCAGTCAGGAATTTGAAAAACACACGCACTAAAAGCAGAGAAACCAAAACCCTGGTGGTGTAGTGGTTAACTGCTAGGGCTGCTAACCAAAGTGTTGGCAGTCTGAATGAGCCAGGTGCTCCTTGGAAACTCTGTGGGGCAGTTCTACTCTGTCCTATAGGGTGACTATGAGTCGGAATCAACTCAATGGCAACAGAAAAAGCAGAGACTGAAACGCACTGAATCAATTTAAAGGAGTGCTGATTCCTAGCCTAAAATCCATAAAACACTGGAAGAATCTCTTTCTTGCCTCCAACCATGAGAGAAGAAGAGGAATCAATCAATTTAAAGGAGTGCTGATTCCTAGCCTAAAATCCATAAAACACTGGAAGAATCTCTTTCTCACCTCCAACCATGACAGAAGAAGAGGAATCACCTTAATGGGGGGAGTTGGTGGGTACCGGTAATAGATCTCCGCAGGGTGACCTCACAGGTTGTCTGGAGGTCCTCCCGAAGGGTAAGTCCCAGCACGAGGCATTGTGTGGTGCACGCTCACTTCCCTCCATTTTTTATCTGAGGAGAATAAACACCACAGACAGTTTTCAAACTAAAAATATTTCACAAAAGGGAAATTCATAACCTGAAGGATGTGTGAGGGGAAGGGGAGGCAGGAGGCCTCGGGGAAGCTCTTTATGCCAAGAGGGTCATACAGCATGAGGTTACTGCTTTTTGATCTATTGGCCAAAATAATCCAAGTTAGCTTAATCCAGAAGGTAGCTCAAGAGGAAATCAGCACGTGGTTAAACAAGATCTGAAAACAACAACAGTGTTAAGGAAAATATTGGTTCCAAAGCCAGGAAATTCTTGGTTGGCCGAGAGATCAGGTAGTTCTGTTTCCAAAACCACAGTATAATTAAGCATAACAAATTACAACGTTTAAGCCTCAATTAATAACTCTGTGAACTAAGAGATCCAATTAAACAGTTGCCAACCTAGTTACTGATGGTTCCTTTAAAGCTGCCCAATTCGAGACAATGGTGTGCACTCGCAATAGGTCAGCAGTAGGAAGAGCAGTGTCTCGATGGAATACTGCATACAAGTAGCGCAGGATCAGAGATAGGAACGTTTTTATTTAAAGAGTCATTCATCAAAACAAGAGTTGGGGAGAAGATCACTGTGGAGTAGGGACCTCTATAATTTATCATCCAAACCACACACCTCTAAGAGTAAAAAGAGTCCCTATTAGTAATTGCCCTGGGACAACAGACATAAACCGAGACTCTCCTCAGGGGTCAGATAAAAATAAAAATCATTGATGGGAGGACTAGACAAATATTACATGTTTAACTAACATGCTTTTTAAAAAATCTCCCCCCAAGAAACCTTAAAACTGTATTCAATATAAACAACAAAAATCCACTGTAGTTCCATATCGAGAAAAGAGGAAGAACTAAGCAGAAAAAAAGGAACAAAGACAGGTACGGTACTGAGGAGGAAGGAAGTGAGGAAGAACCAGAAGGAAAGCTATTTAGTTTAGTTCTGAGGTCAAGCTACACTGTCACACTACCCTGTTTTATTTTCACTTATAGTGGCTTATGTAATATTTGCTACACACACAGGAACATATGTAGCGCATACATCTACATTAAAAAGCATGCTATTAAACTGACCACCCATGAGCCCACCACCCATCTGAGAATCAGAGCAGCGCTGATACCATTGCACCACCTGGGCACCCATCAAGGTGAGGTATTTAAACCACTATTAATTTTGAAACTGATCCATTGATTAATGACTATTCCAGACTCTACAATCTTTTCCTGAAACTTACAGGAGTTCTACCATGACTAGGGAATTTAGAGCAGTACAGTGTGGAGGGGAAGATTTCTCCCATTTCTGGCTCCAAGTGAAATAAAGCCAAATGGTTCCAACTCCGCAGCTACAGTGTCTGCTGCCCTCTGGTTCACCCAAGTTAGGAAAGTCAGATCCATAAGGTGCCGTGAGCTATTAAGACAAAGGTACGTAAGCTCCGTATGAGCCAAAGACCCTCAGCACTGCAGTCAAAAGAGAGAGGGTGCAACACACAGGCAGAAGGCGAGAAAGACCCCCTCCTCCTCATCTCTCCATCCTTTCTCCGTTTCTGTTCACTATTTCTATTGCTCCCTGTGGGTTGTTAAACCAAGGAGAGCACAGGAGTCCCAGAGGAAAGACTGCAGCTATCAGCATTCAGTTAGAGCAATGAAGAGGTAGGCCAGGTCCCTAATTCTGGTAAGGTCTGACACTCTCATCCCTTTCCTGGTGTCCCAAAAAAGGTGTAAATCCCAATTCCATCACTTATCATTTATGGGGCCTTGGGTATGTTTTTTAACTTCTCTGAGTCTGCTTCATTATCTGGGCATGATCATACTTATCCCACAGGAAAGGATCAAATCAGGTTAACGGATGTGGGTATACCTTGTGAGCTGGTTAGCACTGCATGAATGTTAGTGCCTGTGGTTTTGCTTTCATTATTAGTATTCATTAGGAGATATCGAGGGCATGATCAGAAAATAGAGCCGGAGCTGGATTCCAGGATATGGTGCTCTATGATCTCATTTAAACTACCAAAAGATAGGTACATCCTATCAGAATGAAAGTCAGCTCTTCTTTACGTCTTAGAAAAAGGACTTAAACTTATGCTCAGTGGTCCTTCAATGCATCTTTATATTATAATTCTTTCTCATTTAACAAATATTTTAAATGTATGTACAGTGAAACCTGTTAGACCTGGAACTCAACAGACTGCCTCGCTTTTCCAGGTCTCTCAGGTTTTCTGCCTTTGAGAAGGTGTAGTCTTCACTCTTCTATTGCTCTCTATTAGTGCAAAACATGTGTGTTTTCCTTCTCTGATAGGTTTCCCCCTTACACAGGTTCCAGCTGTCGCAGGTTTTACTGTATTATGCCAGTCACCGTCTAGGCACCAAGAATACAGTGATAAGCAAGACAAGCAAGTTCCTGCCCTCAACGGGCCCACATTCTAGTGAAGGCTGAGGGGAGAAAATAAACAAGTGAACAGATTAACAATTTCAGATTACCCTAAGTGTTAGGAAGAAAATAAATAGGGTGCTACATTATGGTGAAGGAGTCCTGGAGGTGTGCAATAGTTAAGCACTCAGCTGCTAAACGAAGGGTCAGCAGTTTAAAACCACCAGCAGCTCCACGGGAGAAAGATGTGGCAATCTGCTTCCCTAAAGCTTTTAGCCTTGGAAACTCTATGAGGGCTGTTCTACTCTGTGCTATAGGGACACCATGACTCGAGATCAACTCGACAGCAAACAACAACAACATGTTATGGCTAGAGGCATTGGTCATTCAATGATAGAATTCTCACCTTCCATGCAGGAAATGCAAGTTTGATTCCCAGTCAAGGCACCTCAGTTTGTCAGTGGAGGTTTGCATGTCGTTATGGTGCACACAACACCAAAAACAACCATGATGTTGAGCAGATTTCAGCAGAGCTTCCACATTAGAACAGACTAGGAAGAAAGGCCTGGTAATCTACTTTTGAAAATTAGCCAATAAAAAACCCATGGAACGCAACGGTCCGATCCACAACCAATCCATCATGGGGATGGCACAAGGCCAGGCAGCACTTCCTTCCATTGTTCGTAGGGTCCCCATGAGTCAGGGGCCAACCTGAAGGCAGTTAACAACCTGCAGGTGAGGTGTGGGGGGACCGTTTGCGATAAGCTGGTCAAGGAAGGCCTCTCAGAGGAGGTAAGATTTGAACCAAGAGAAAAAGGTGGTTGAGGTGGAGGGAACAGCAAGCGCCCCTGGGACTGGAAAGCTCTTGAGGGTGAGTTCAAGAAACAGGAAGACCCAGATGGCTGGACAGCTTTAAAGCTGTAATTCTCACCTCGGCTGCACAGAGCCTTACATACTACTGAGGCTTGAGTCTGACCCCCAGGGACTCTGATGTAATTGTCTGGGATGCGGCCTGGGCACAGGGAGTTGTCCAGGCTCCCCAGGTGTTTCTAATGCACAGCCAAGCTTGAGGACGACCACACATAAGAGTGTAAGTGGGCTCAGGACAGAGCCCTGGGGCACTCCAGGGCTGAGGTCTTCCTTTCTGAAAGGCCATTTTGGAATATTTGCCCCAGTCAGCAAAACAGACCAAAAACGGAGTGCAGGTCAAGTTAGACAGTGGGCCCACAGTAGGTGCAAGTGACTAATTACTTCTTCTTTTTTAAATATTTTATCGTGTTTTAGGTGAAAGTTTACACAGCAAATTAGGTTCTCCTTTAACAATTTTTATACAAATTATTCCTTGCCATTGGTTACAATTTTTACAATGTGTCAGCATTCTCATAATTTCCATTCTGTTTGCTCTGTTTCCATTGATCTAGCTTCCCTTCCCTTCCTTGCCTTCTCTTCTTTGCTTCAGGGTAAATGTTGACCATTTGGTCTCATATAGTTAATTGTTTAAGGGAGCACATTACTCTTGGGTGATACTGCTTATTTTATAAGCCAATCTATTATTTGACCAAAAGGCGACCTGCAGAAATAGCTTCAATTCCAAGTTCAAAGGGTATCTTAGGGTGATAGTTTCAGAGTTCCTCTAGTCTCTATCGGTCCAGTAGATCTGGCCTTTGTTAGGAATTTGAGTTTTGTTCTACATTTTTTCCCATTCTATCCAGGACCTTCTATTATGTCCCTGGTCAGAACAGTCGGTAGCGATAGCTGGGCATCATCTAGTTCTTCTGGTCTCAGGTTAGAAAAGGCTGTGGTTCATGCGGGCTATTAGTCCCATGGACTAGTTTCTTCTTTGAACCTTTGATTTCCTTCATTCTCTTTTGCTCCATACAAGTAGAGACCAATAGTTGCATCTTAGATGGCTGCTTGCAAGCTTTTAAGACCCCAGACACTACTCACCAAACTAGGATGTAGAACATTATCTTTGTGAACTATCTTATGCCAATTGACTAAGTGTCCACCCAAGAGACTAATTACTTCTTAATTTCACTTCACAGCCTAGAAGGAGGTACAACAACATGTATGAAATGCTTATTCTCTGGAGGCTTGATTTTACCTCCTTAAGGAATACTTCCAGGAAAATATCGAGACAGTCCAGCTAATCCGCAGCCCCAGAAATTACCTTTGACTTCTGATTTAAAGTGTTAAAAAAAAGAGCCATACACTAATTATAATTGTCTCTGTCAGTCCATAAAATGCACAATTAAAAATTAACACAGCATGACTATATATATGGGGAGTGAATTGGATTTATAAGCCATGTGTCAAGACATAATTACCAGCTGAGTCAGTTCGGCAAGGGTGCTGCAGCCATCTAGTTTCTTTTATGGCATGTATCATAAAGCGGTAAAATCATCTGTAAAAAGGATGGCTCTTGTAAAAGAAGTGGGTCACTTTAACTATTACGATGTGCTTGGTGACAGGAAGCACACCAAGTTCACCATAGTGATTTCCTCTGGGGAAGAAGGGGGAGGGGAGTACAAAGAGTACATTTATCAAAAATATTTTCTTTCT